TCTGGGGCAAAAAGGAAATGCAGGAGAGAGTTCCTTCTGCTGGGCGGGGCAAGGAGGCCGGCTGTGGAGGCTTCCTTTCTACCCTTTTGCTTCTCCCCTCTCTATGGTGATTCTTTGGAGGCCCTCCCTCTGTCCCCTCACTTCCTCTCCATGGTGGTAACAATTTTCTGCAGATTTTTTAAAAAATTGGGAAGATTTTAGGGCAGTTAATTCATAAGTATGGTTTGTTCGTAACTCAGACGTTCGTAACTTGGGGACTGCCTGTGTCACAAAAAAGTGGGCAAGCTTTCAAGATCTCCAGATCTCTTCTTTTGGCAAGATGTTACAAAAAAGAGCTTTTGGTGGGCCAGAGGGAAAAACTGGCTGGATGCTGTTGTCAGCATGTCATGCTCTCACTTCTTTCTTTCTTACTTACTTACTTATTTAAAACATTTCTATGCTGCTCCCATCACAACAAAGCCTCGGGTCGGCTCACTATATATATATATATATATATATGTGTGTGTGTGTGTGTGTGTGTGTGTGTGTGTGTGTATAAAAAAACATTTAAACCCCCCCGGTGCATTCTCGGCTAATTTAAATCCTAATAAACACAATAATTTAGCAATTAAAATAAGTTTTAAATAAAAAGGTCTTAGCCTGGCGCCGAAAAAGAAATAATGACAGCACCAGGCAGACCTCTCTGGGGAGCGCATTCCATAGATGGGGCGCCACCACAGAGAAAGCCCTCCTCCGGGTACTCACCCTCCTAATATCATTCACAGAGGGTTCCCCGAGAAGGGCATCTGTTGCTGATCTCAAGGGACGGGAGGGCATATATGGGCGCAAGCGTTCCTTTAGATATCCAGGTCCCAAGCCATTTACGGCTTTATAGGTCATAAGCAACACCTTGAATTGGGCCCGGACTTCAATCGGGAGCCAGTGGAGCTGACGGAGAACTGGGGTTATATGAGAATAATGCCCAGTCCCCGTCAGCAACCTGGCAGCTCTATTCTGCACCAACTGAAGTATCTGGACTGTCTTCAAGGATAGCCCCACGTAGAGCGCGTTACAGTAATCTAATTGGGAAGTTACCAGCGTGTGTCACTGTCACCAGGCAGTCGTTCTCCAGGAAGGGACGCAGCTGATGTATCAGCCGAAGCTGAAGGAAGGCGCTCCTCGCCACCGCCGTCACCTGAGCTTCTAGAGACAGCTCAGGGTCTTCTTAGAGGACGGCTGGCAGGGGAATCCTGGGAGATGTAGAACTCTTCTGATGCAACATGTTGTTGTTGTTGCTAGTCGTGAAGTCGTGCCTGACCCACCGCAACCCCCTGGACAACATTCTTCCAGGCCTTCCTGTCCTCCACCATCCCCCGGAGTCCACCTAAGCTCACACCCACTGCTTCCGTGACTCCATCTAGCCACCTCATTCTCTGCTGTCCCTTTCTTCTTTTGCCATCTATTGTTCGCAGCATCAGGCTCTTCTCCAGAGAGTCCTTCCTTCTCATTAGGTGGCCAAAGTACTTGAGTTTCATCTTCAGAATCTGGCCTTCTAAAGAGCAGTCAGGGTCGATCTCTAGGACTGACTGGTTTGATCGCCTTGCGGTCCAAGGGACTCGCAGAAGTCTCCTCCAGCACCACAATTCAAAGGCCTCAATCCTTTTGCGCTCAGACCTCCTTATGGTCCAGCTTTCACAGCCATACATTGCAACTGGGAAAACCATAGTCTTGACTATACGCACTTTTGTTGGCAGGGTGATGCCTCTGCTTTTTAGTACGCTGTCTAGATTTGCCATAGCTTTCCTTCCCAGGAGCAAGCGACTTTTAATTTCTTGGCTGCAGTCCCTGTCTGCGGTGATCCTGGAGCCCAGGAAAATAAAATCTGTCACTACCTCCATTTCTTCCCCATCTATTTGCTAGGAAGTGAGAGGGCCAGATGCCATGATCTTAGTCTTCTTAATGTTGAGTTTCAAGCCAACTTTTGCGCTCTCCTCCTTCACCCGCATCAAGAGGCTCTTTAGTTCCTCTTCACTTTCTGCATGCATGGGAGCAAACCCTTAAGATGGTAACACAGGAGGAGGAAGGTTTGCAGATACTGCAATTGGGGTCTGCACAGTTATGGGATGGTTTCAGTATTCAGTATCCCAGCAATGGTTCTTTACATCCCAATCCCCACAAGACTGCTTTTTGTAACATTTTGCCAAACAAAGAGCACAGAAGATCTCAAACGCTTGCATACTGTTTTGTGATCTTTGAGCTGGTCTAATATAGGATTTATTTATTTATATGCCGTCCTATTCACAAAAAAGCCTCAGGATGGCTTACAATGTAAAATATAACATAAATAACATAAATAAAATTCCCAACCTACACTGGCTGCAATTAAAAACATAGAAAAGACAATATTAAAACTTATTAAAATACTGCTGGAATAAAAAGGTCTTAACCTGGCGCCAAAAAACGAATAACAACAGCGCCAGGCGGACCTCTCTGGGGAGGGCATTCCATAGACGGTGCGCCACCGCAGAGAAGGCCCTCCGCCGGGTACTTTGCCTCCTAACATCTTTCATGGATATTACACTTCCGGCTTCAGGAATGTTTCTTATGGTCAACCCAGTCGATCTTTTTCATACGCCATGGAGAAAACGGGATCTTTACCTTACCATAGTGTTGTCTGTTTACAAAACTGAGCTGGGGACCATTGCGTCTAGCCCCACAAATTGTTTCAGGTTTCAAAGGAAGTACCTGCAATGTAAAGAAGAAAGGATGATAAAGTTCATGCTTTATAGGATAACTGGAATACATTTTCAGCTATAAGCTGACTCTAATACACCTTCCAAGTAACCACGGGATCCGCTAGTCTTTGACACTGAGTAGTGGCTGACAAACATTCGCACAGTCAAAGCCCTGGTTTTCCCAGTTGTAATGTACGGCTGTGAGCATAAGGAAGGCTGAGTGCCGAAGAACTGACGCTTGTGAATTGTGGTGCTGGAGGAGACGCCTACGAGTCCCTTGGACCGCAAGGAGGTCAAACCAGTCAACCCTGACTGCTCTTTGAGACCAGATTCTGAACATGAAGCTCAAATACTTTGGCCACCTATTGAGAAGGAGGGACTCATGGAGAAGACCCTGGTGCTGGGACCGATGGATGGCAGAGGAGGAGGAGGCTGGATGGAGTCACTGGGGAGGTGGGGTTGGGTGGACCCCGGGGGACGGTGGAGGGCAGGAGAACCTGGAGGAATGTTGTCCATGTGGTCACAAAGAGTCAGGCACAACTTTGTGACTAAACAAGCGGCCGGCCGTTCTTCTAAGCCGGAAGTCATTCTGAAAGAGCTGTTCATTCCTCTTGAACCCACTGCTCCCTATTTTAGCAAATGTTCGACCTGGGACACAATCCGCAAGTGACTGGAGAGTTAAAGCGACTGGAGGAAAGGCACAGACTAGGAGCCACCCAGTCAGTTTCATGGCCAAGCAAGGACTAGGGCCTGCATCTTCCCACTCCCAGCCCAAGTGTCTCACCACTGAACCAGACTGCCTTTCCCAGTCTTCAGAGGCAGCCCCAAGTAGGGCCTGCTGAAATAGTCCAACTTGGGAGTTACAAGACCACAGCGAATGGAAGCCAACCACCCTCCAACTGGGTTCTTCTGCCGCGCTGGACTACAACTCCCATCCTCCTACACATGGAGCAAAGAACCAGCCCTAAGCTGCGAAGCAGCTCTTTCGGGGCGGCGAGTCTTGCTTTATCTAGTGCCCTGGCGAAGGCAGACCAAGACGGAAGGGCAGGCCGAGCTGCCGCCGAGCTGCCTGCTCAGCCGGCCACCCTGACGGCGAGGCCGCCGCTCAAAGCACTCAGCACTGGCCAGCGAGCATCCCGTGGCGACCCGTTCGCTCCCGCGGCATCCCAACGCACGAAAACCAGCGCCCGTGACACGGAAGCCAGATTCCGACGTGCACGCAGCCGTACTCACCGCCAACGCTGCCCGCAGCTCCAGCACGGCGTGGCGCCGCTCGCACCCAACCGCTGACCGGGCGGGGCCTCCGGCGAGGGGGCGGGGCTTGCCGCCTGTTTACCACCCACCAGGGCGTTACCATGGCGAGGGAGGGCTCGGCCTCCGCGTCGCCCGGCGACAAGGCGCCCGGCGGGGCGGGGCGGGGCCTGCGCGTGCGCACTCGCTGGCAGCTGCGGGAGCGAAGAGCGGCTTTCTTGCGGCGGAGCGGAGAGCGAGGGGAGAAAAGGCGGGAAGGGCGAGCGGGGTGCGCGCGCATCGCTTCGCCGCAACGGGCGGCTGGTGCGCGGCGGCGGCCCCTCCCCCTCCCCCTCGCTCGCGGGGCCTGGCGGGGAGCGAAGCAGAGGCAGCAGCGGGGGCGCCTGCTCCGCGCACGGCCCCGGTTCTCCGGGACAGCCGTCGGCACCGGCGAGCGACGGACAGGCCGCCTCCGGAGGGGGAAGTGTCCGAGGCGCCCCGGCCCGGCAGCGCCTCAGGGGCGGCCCGGCTCGGCCCGGCAGGCTCGGGGCAGGCGTCAGGCAAGGCCGCTCGTCGGAGCGCGGGCCCGGCCGCCCCGGAGGCATTCCAGCCGCAGCCCCGCCACTCCGGATCCGTGGGAAGGAGCGGGCCAGTCGGGGCCGGCCTGGGCTCGCCAGGAGACGGCTGCACGGCCTCACGACGGGCGGAGCGGGCGATGGAGCTGCTGCCTGCGGGCTTTTCTCGCTGCCCGGTACCCTCGACCTTCCCTTAAAGGACATACACATTCGGAGGGAGGCAGCGTGGGGGGCGCGGGCGCCCCCCCCCCACTGGCGCTCAGAGCCCCCCGAGGGATGGCGCAGCTTGGGGTTGGACGCGATGCCCCCCGACTCTGCTGTTCGTCGAGTCTGTCCTTTGCGCTCATTCGCACAGGTGCCTCTATTTCAAGACAGTGAAATTCTTCAGAGTATCGTGAAATGTTCTTTCTGTGTCAGAGCAAACGCAACCGCGGTGATTTTCTGTCGGTACAAATACGAACCGTCAAACAACACGCGCAAGCACTTTAAGAATAGCATTTATTCCTGGTTACAACTAGGGCTTCGAAAGTGGATTGAATATGGCCATTTCTTCTAACGATGTTTCACTGATACAATTCGTATTAGGAAAAACATTCTTACTACACGGTAACAGGAAGAACACCTATTGCTCTGGAACTTGTGCGCATTCTTGACCAAGTATATTGTATGATGTTTAGTATATGATACAGGCAGATACATTTTTTAAAATACCTTTATGATTTCTATGTAAGAGCCCCCCACCTCCACAAAGTAACATTTAAAAAATTATGTTCTGCAAAAGAAGTTCGGCTACCCCCCCACATTAACACTTGGAGTAGGCAAAATGATTCCTGTGTCTTTAGCATGCAAATGCATTACCAGAATATATAGCATGCACACCTGGTTTTTAAGTCATACCAATGAACTATGGAGCAATCGCTAGAGTTCGCAGCCACATGTCTTGAGAGCTAAATATACCACTATTGCTTGGTACAAGTTGTTTAAATGTTTCTTCAAACTTTGGAGTAACACGGAGCAGTCTGTGCCTTTAAGAGGTAGTATGGCAAAACTTCCACGCATTCCAACAAATGCACATACGGATCGGGACTGAAGGAGAAGAATTAAAATACTTTCACTTGCATTTTATAGAAAAGAATTCTTTGCGGTGTTGCACAAAGAACCAGTAAAAATCCCTTACACAGAAATACAGTACACAGAAACAGTAAGATGTCTCAGGATGGGTACACAGCTGCCTCTAGTGATCTTGGGCCCCTGGACAGAACTTGGTGTGACCCATCTCTGGCACTGCGCATCCTCTCCTGCTGCGTTTGTGCGTTTGTGGCATTCACGTGTGCTCCATGGGAGAACCCATGTATCATCAGCTGGGGTTTGGTTTTGATGTACAGATCGCCTTGAAGTGTGAAGAAGAATACTACTTTGCACAAGTGGATTTCAGAGAAACAATATAAGGAAAAGTCACACAACTTTTCATACTGAAGGTATGTATACCACTTTAGGCTATAATTAGATGCCCAGACTATTATTAATAATAGTTTCATGCCTGGATACCCTGGAAAATAAATCTCTTGGATTTTCTCTTACTCATGCAGTCTGTTTTCTATGAACCACGGAGTCTGCAGTATATGGTTTCTAGGGAAGCAAGCTACACAAGGTGACACAAGTCCCAGAAGGTGCACATTTGCTCAGGTATTCAGACACAGGAATTGCTCATGGTAGTGGCCCAAGTTTTGGAAAACGTGGCCTATGCAATGACTTAACACACCAAATTCAAGCATGGAAGAAAACCCATCAATAGATGATCTTTAAATATAAAATATTCAAGACAGATCAGTTTAGATAGATCACAATCAGGACCCACACTGTCACTGACAGGCCCATTTACAGTAGATTGAAGTAGCTGGTGGAAAGAGAAGATTCTAGCAAAGTTAAAGGCAGTATGTTTAGGGTGCCTAACATTTAACTCCTTATAAAATGCTTCCTGTCAGATAGCAATATTGCCAAACACTGAAGAATCTTCCCTTTTCTCCTGGGCACAGCACCTATTGTCTAAAGAGACTGAGATGGCACTTGTTCAGGGTAAGCTTCCCAGTACCATCACTGATATTGTAACAGTTCTTCCCAGTGGATGGGCTGTGAGAACACCTCTCTCTCCAACCACAGCTCATAGGAGTAATGGAAATCTTCAGGAAGTTCCAGCTGCTGCCCCAACACGCTCTGCAAGCAGTTGTCTACCGGAGCAAACTCAGAGTCCTGGGGCTTGTCATACCTCCGGCTGTTAAAGGCTTCGATATTGGCTCGTAAAGTGCATTCTTCTGCTTGAAAATCCCACGGCCGAGCATCGATATCTAGGTGCCAGCAAGGCAGAGAGAAAAGTGAGACAGCGCCTCTACACAGGCAGAATTGCCACTCTGGGGGTGGACCTAAACTTGTGGCCGTATCAGTGATGCTACAGGAAGCGGTGTCTTGAGGGGTGTAGCACAGTTAAAAGCAGTACATGTGGATTCTCTGTTATACTGTCAAAGAAGCACAATTTTTAATTGCAGGTGGAATATATCAGACTCAGTCCCTGCCATCTCTACTTTAACGATCGCAAGTAGCAGGTGCTAAGAAAAATCTGTTTAAAATCCCGTAGACCAGTGCCAGACAGTGCTGGTCTAGATGAACCAATGCCCTAACTCCATTTAAGGCAGCCGCATATGCGTGTGACGATCCCTACAGTGCGACACTCCACAGACAAACAGCATCTGCTCTTCAAACACGCGCTTAAGGAGCAAAGCTAATGCCCACCTAGAAGTTATTAATACTACATTGACCTAATGGAGTTTGTCACAAAAATATATGAGGGAACGTCATCACTGAGTGCTGTTTCATCTAAGGGAGCAGGATCACACATTTATTACGAGTGCGGAGCTTTGAAAAATGACTACCATACACGCCGCTAAGGCAACCACCATCCTTCAGGGAAGGGAAGGTCTTCATGACTCTCACCGTTGCCATAAGCCCAGTCATCGTTCATGCGGTGACGCACTTTCTGGTAGATGGCAGACATCGTTTTCATGTTACTCTTCCTCCACTGGCGCCCGAGGTACTTGGTCTGGATCTTCAGCAGCTTCAGGACATAAAGCTGCATCATGGCTTGCTTCACTTTCAGGGCTCGTTTCAGAATTGGAGCGGACTTGAAAACAACCAGCATCTATCAACATACCAAGCAGAAAGAATCAGGACAGCAGAGGCTTCCTTAATAATAATACAGTAGCGTCTTTTGTTCACAGTGGCCAACCAGCTGTGTGGAAAGCACACAGGCAGGAAATGAGCACAATACCACCATCTGAGGGTTAACCGCTTGGTAACGAACATGGCTTATAGCTCGAAACTTAGGCGAATGACTATGAAAAGCCCTGTTATGTTTTAGCCTGAAATCCTGTTGGGTTTTATTTTCATTTATTTCAAGCTTTTGTAGCCAGTTAAAGTTTCTAAGAGGCAATCAAAGTTACTGAAATAAACAGAAATCACTGCAAAAATGCACCAAAATCAAACCCCATTAAAATGTTTAAAATAACCAGCAGATAAAATGGCAACAAAAGAAATCAGCAATTAGTGCACAACAGTATGATGCCGTATAAACAATATTGGGTAGGGATATAGTTTAGCAAATACTGTATAAAACAAACACCCTTTCTATTTCTATAGCACAATTTATTTGCAGTCTTTTGGGGGGTTTTATCTTTGTTTTCCTCTCTCCTGCAACAGCCCTTTCACAGAACCTTGCAATGGTAGAGTTGGAAGGGGCCGAGGTGGCTCTCGGGTCCAATCCCCTGCTCAATGCAGGACGCCAAAGTAAAGCATCCTCATGGCTGTCCAGCTGCATCTTGACTGCCTTTTGTGTAGGAGAGCCCACCACCTCCCAAGGGCATTGGACTGATCATTACCTTATTTTAATAGTCAGGAAGTTTTCCTGATGTCCATCCTGAATCTGGCTGCCTGGAACTTTAGCTCATTCTGGGTCCTGCACTCTGAGTCTGGGGTGATCAGGATGAAACCCCAACCCTCCTCTGTGCAACAGCCTACTGAGTACTTGAAGAATGCGAGTGCATCTCCCCTCCCTCAAGGCTAAACATGCCCAGTCCTTCCAGTCTCTTCTCATAGGGTTTTACTTCCACCTTTGCTTTATTTCCGTAGGGCTTTAGTTTCATCTTTCCATGCAATCATCTTCGCTGCCCCCACTCCAGTTTGTCTACATCTTTCTTAAACTGCACTGTTCAGAACTCTGTCAACTCAAGATGAAGCCTAACCGGTGCTGAGTAGAGAGGAACAAGTACGTTGTGTGATTTTAAGTAATACTTCTATCCATGCAGTCTAAAATAACATTTGCCTTTTTTGTAGGTACATCATTGATTCATATTCAGCTTGTGATCTACAGTCCCAAGATCCTTCTCGCTTGCACTGTTGTTGAGCCAAGTATCTCTATCCTGTAGTCATGCATCTGGTACCTTTTTCTTAGGTTCAGAATTTGACATTTATCCCTATTAAATTTCATTCTGTTGTTTTCAGCCCAGTGCTCCAACCTATCACGATCACTTTGAATTTTGTTTCTATCTTCCAGGTTATTAGCTATCCCATCCAATTTTGTGTCATCCACAAATCCGATGTGTTCCTAGCACTTCCTAATCCAAATCATTAAAAATGTTTAATATGATGTCCACGGTATTCCCACAGTCCATCAGGGAGGTTAACCATTCAAAAAATGAAAAAAGGTTAGTGTGGGAGGATTTGTTCTTGACAAGTCCACGTTGGCTTCCAGTAATCACCACCTTGTTTTCACAGTGTTTGTAGACTGATTGCTTTATTACATGCCTCAGTATTTTCCATAAACCTCCTGGTCTGGAATCTCCCCTCCCCGCTTTTAAAGATAGCAGTATTTGCCTTCCTTCAGTCATCTGGCAATGCACCCTCCTCCAGGATTTCTGAAAGGGACTAGACAGTGCTTTTGAGAGTTCTTCCACCAGTCCCTTTATTACTGTGTATACCGTTGAAAGTAACGAGGTGCTCCTCGGCCTTCTGTCTGTCAATTTCAAGCTGCAGTCCTGCCGCTCCACACTTGAACTTCACCTTTGCCAGGGAGGTCATAGATCTTCTTTGGTGAGAAGACGATGTCAAGCAGTAATTAAGCACTTCTGCCTTTTCTTTGTCATCTGTTATCCTTTTGCCACCCTCACTGAATAACTGGACCACCATTTCTTTCCTATGTCTGTTACCATGCATGTTCCTCATGAAGGTTTTTCTGTTGCTTCCAGCATCACTATCATCAGCTTATTCTCAGCTTTAACCTTTCTGATGCCATCACTGCTACCTGCCAGTACTCTTCTTCTGTAGCCTGGTCTTCCTTTCGTTTACACACTGCATTTACTTTCCTCTTGGAAGGAACACAACACTGCTTACAAAGTTCTCCTCTACTCCATTTTTATCTCCTATAGTTTTTTTTTCCTAAAAATTCCCACCCATCTTGAATTCCATTCCTAATTAGAGATGCTTGCCATGGGACCTCATTTATCAGATTATGAGATTATGAAAACTGCCTTCCTTAAAATCCAGGGTATGCCTTTGGCTACACTCAGCTCTTGCGTCATTAAATCCTACAACAGCTCTATCGAAATGCATCACATTCCCTTAGGGAGCAATCAAGGCTGAGAGATGACCACACAAACCCCCTGACAGAAGCAGAACGGCAGTCGCTCTTTTCGTGATGCTGTTCTCCAGTCACCGAATCAATTTGGCTACTGGGGCCGCTGGAAGGTGCCTTTGGCGCGTCTGGTCTGCTCGCAAGACACACACACACACCCGGGTGCCGTGCTCGTCCCCTTGGGCGAGTTCAGCCAGCGAGCAACTCACCATCGTCCTGGAATGTTTCCACTTGGTCAGTTTATTGAGGATCCTCAGCAAATTGATGCAAGAGAAGAGATTCCTGTAACAGAACTGGTTGTTGTCCCCCGTTTCCTGCAATCAAAGAGGAGGGGGGAAATGGCAACACTTTCGTTGTAATGGGTAGGGAATTGCAATATTCTGGTATTACAATATTCCACCACTTTTGCCCTGCCCATCAAGCAGGATGAGGCCAAGAGCTTCTCTGAAATGGAATTCAGCCTTGGGGCAAAAGAGGTTCCCCACTCTAGATCTAACAGAGCGCTCTCAAAAATAAATCAGTTTGGGCAAGGTATTTGTGTACACCTGGCGGTCCGCACCAAAAGATATGCACCGTTCTCTTTCAAAACGGGACCATATTTAAATGGTGCACCCAGCACGAAGGGGAGGATAAAAGTCCGGCAGCACTGCAGCCACCTCCATCCGACTGCTGGGGAAGAGGAATCTCAGCTGCACACGCCCAAGAAGCAGAACGTGCACCGACATCACGGCAGATGCTTGGCTCGCGCCTCCAGCACGAATAGCAGCGAGCAGCGTACCCATCTTTTCCTTGCACGTGCCCACCTAACCCTATTCGAACCATTTTTCTTGGTTTTTCCAGAGGCGGTATTTTTATCTTTTTCAGAGAATCTTGAGACGCTAAGCACCCTCCCACTTGCCCACTCACGTAAGAGCACTCTTGTGCCGCCCTAGGAAAGTGTGACCAGACCAAGACTATTTCCTGCACCTTCAGCAGTGCCTCGTCACTCCAGCCTCGGTTTCGAAGTCTGCGGGGGCAGGCGAGGAGGGTAAGTGCAGGTACTCTGCACTCAGCTGAAACGGGATGCTGTCACCTGGGATCTGATGACGGGGGAGTGCTGGGAGGAAATGACCAGGTCCTTCCTTTTTCCTGGGCTCAACTGGAAATGCTGCTAAGGGCCTCTGCATCCTTAAATGGCATGGGCCCTTCACAGCTCAGGAGTCCTATATTCCATCACAACCTACCAGGAGCTCTCTGTTGGGCCTCTTCTCCATGCAACACAATGTATTGATTTACTTAGCACATTTTTATGCTGCTTAATAGCTGAAGCTCTCTGAGTGGTTCACAACAATTCAAAACATAAAATACAGTATAAAATAAGAATGCATTAGAGTAAGAACTAGCCACACTACGAATATTCGAACTACAACAGAACATTTAAAATTGACGGAATCTAAAATGCCTGGGAAAGTAAGAAAGTCTGCACCTGGCTCTGGAAAGAGTACAATGTAGGTGCCAGGCAAGCTTTTCTGGGAAGTGCATTCCATAGCCAGGTGTGAAAACAGAAAAGGTCCTCTTCCTGGGTGGCCCCACTGGAGTTCCCTTGGCAAGGGCTTCCTCAGGAGGGTTGCTGAGGATGCTTTTCGGGCCCGGGCAGATGCATGTGCAAGACTGCTGAACACTCCCTTCCAAAGCTGCGGCTAGTCCTGCGGGGAGAAGCTGACGCCTATTTTTTCCCAATAGCAGCTCATGGGGACGGGCAATTTGGGGAGTGGGCATGGGGGAGAGGGCTTTTAAGTCCCTTCCTCTTCCAGCACCTTAGTCCCAGTCCATCTCAGGAGGCTAAAGGCTCTTTTAAGATTTCAAAGGGGAAGGGAATCCAGGTCTTTTATGAGAATTTGGTATAAAGAACAGCAGTTACATAGCACAGCTATGTAATCATAAATTAACGCCAGTTTGCATAAGCTGCCGTGAGAGGTCACTGTGGCTTCAGGGTGAAGTTGCTAAACATTAGTCCTCCTCCAGAGCTTTCCCTGAGCAGTCGCTTCCGGAATAGATGGCCCATTCATTCGGTGTGGGTTGCGGCTGCTGCCTTTTGCTCTGGAGGCCCTTTTAGGAGGAACGCATGTTGGTTCCAGCCCATATACCTGTTTGCACTTCACCAGGCAAGGTTCCAAGGGGAGGGGAGGGTGGAAGAGACAGTCAAACCAGGCAACCCCTTTAAGAGGCGGAAGCATGAATTTCTCTTGCTTGCTCCCTTGCAGTACTATCGGATAATATTTCTAAAAAGGCTCACCTTTTTGGCTGATGGCCCATTTCGCTTTCAACTGGGATAGAAACACTCCAGCGGACTGCCCAGCCCTTTCCTTCCTCTAGTTCCAGAGGTCCCTAATGAGCAGTACCCTCAAAAAATTCATGCTGCACAGGAGTTGTGGGAGGTCATGCCAACACAACTCCGCTTCAAGTGCAAAATCTGTTCCAGCACCTGTTCCTTTCCACAGGACGTGTTTCAAAATCCAGGTCTGTCAGCCTTGAGAATGTAGCATTTTAAGGATGGGCACGGAGGCCAATGTATGGCCGCTTGCCCTGGCTCACAGGCCACCTGGGGTGTGAGCAGGTGTTCCACTTACTAGGCTTTCTGCATTGAGTTCTGGTAGCTCATGGACAGTGCAGAAGGGATAATCCAGGACAGAGATGCTGCAGAGAGATCCAAACAGAGACTCACTTCAGTTCATTGCCATCATAGCTCAGTGCTAAAGCTTTCAGTTTAAAATTGCTTTTGTGTTTGCAGGTGGAAAGGAAGATTTATGTTTACACAGACTACCTGTTTTTGGCAGTTATGTAGGACATGATATTCTGGTTGAAGAACTTCAGAATTAATGGAATGCAGTTGGCAAACACTAGATGCTGAGAGACATATTCAAACTGGAAAAAGAAGCCAAAACATTAAGCAAGAAAAGGGACTGAGTCCCAGTCACACTTGAGCGTGCATGCTCGCTCGCGCGCGCTCCCTCTCTCTCCCCCCGCCCCGTCTCCCCCACACACTCGCACACAGAGCATTTCAAACTTCTGGGTGATGATCTGAAGAAGAGTTGCTCCAGGTTGCCACACTTCCACACCTGACCAGCTCCAGACATGGACTCTCTTCCTTCTCCACACTGCAGGCATCCGATACCCTTCCCAATACCTGCGCATGGCAATTCCTGAAGCGGCAGCAGGTCCGTTGGGGCTCTTTTTGGTTCAGCAATCTCAGTTCAGCAAACTATTTCATACCACTGCCTGAAAATAATCCTAACTCTTAATCCTAATCCTAACCTGAAAACCATCTGCGAGGGCCCTTCTCCAGGCACCCCAGCCGACTGCCGTGGGCGGCTGCTAGGGAGACACGCTTCTCAGGGGGACGCCGACTGCAGAACAGTCTCCCTGCCGTGCGACTTGCCCAGCAGCAGGCCCATCATCTTCCTGGTACCAGGGACACTTTAGGCACCATTTTATCTTCTCAGGCTTTTAGTCCTGAGAAACTGAGTCGGTGCGTTTTTTGCATTTTTACACTTTAGCTCACTTTTCCCTTTGTTCTTACATCTTTATTCTGGATTTAACTATTGACTTTTGAGTGGGATGCAGGTGGCGCAGTGGTTTAAACTGCTGTGCTGCTGGGCTGGTTGACAAAAGGTTGCCAGTTCGACTCTGCACAATGGGGTGAGCTCCCGTTGCTCCATCCCAGCTCCTGCCGACCTTGCAGTTCCAAAGAATGAAATGCAAGTAGATAAAAAGGCACCACTTCGGTGGGAAAGGAACAGCGTTCCGTGCATCTTGGTGTTCAGTCATGGCGGCCACATGACCACGGAGACCGTCTGCAGAAAAACGCTGGCTCCCTCAGCTGGGAAACGGAGATGAGCACCACCCCCTGGAGTCAGGCATGACTGGACTTCACCTCAAGGGGAAACCTTTACCTTTATTGACTTTTGACATTACATTTTAGTACGGTTTTGTATTTTATGTTTTTTAAATTTTTTTCTATTAGCTGCCTAGAGAGCTTTGGTTAATGGATGGTACAGGAAAGGAAGGAAGGAAGGAAACAAGGAGTAAAAGGCCTTTCTGAATGACACCCAGCCATGTGGACCCTGGCAGGTGGCTGCTGTCACTGGCTTCTGCAGTCCCTCCAGGAAGCCAAAAGGCTAACCTTCCAGCGCGCGAAGCACTGTCCCCTCGGCCCCATCTGCACCCCAAGACGAACAGAGGACGTGATGGCACCGTCTGTCCTACCCAAAGCAACAAAGAGTGTCAGATGTAGAAACCCAATTAAAGCAACAATTACTGGGCCAACATCATGGGTTCACAAAGAATGGGAAACAAAAGGAAACCCTGGAATATGTATGCACACCTGCTATTGTTATTCCTTGAAGGAAACCCTGCTCCCAACCACTTATGTAGGTCTCACTGTTTTGTAAAACCTGAAAGATATCTAATAAAAGGAAAGAGGGATGCCTCGAGTTTTCCATCGGCCTTCTTCCTTCTGGCTTTCTTCACATTACTTCATCTCCGCAGAGCCGCCTGCATCGGTGGAATACAGGACCACTCCCACTTGGCCCTGTCCCTCTTGGAACCGCACACGTTTCAGGTTATGTGTACGGATCTCTCAGAAATACGGGGGATATGAAATTCATGTCCACCCAGTAATTCTAAAGCAACACAGACTGACAGAGCAGGTTTTTGGATGCCCATCGCCTCCACAACTCAATTCGTCTTAGGGAGAGGCAGCCGGCTTGCTATTGCATGGGAAGTTCAACGGAAAGGGCTGGGAAAAGAAGAGCTGCCTGCTCCTCAAGAGGAAATCCAGTATGAATAAGCTTTCCGCGTCTCCGATAAAGTGCACCCGAGCAAGAGATAAGCTCTTCAAGTGTAGCAATGAATTAAGAAACCCAGGAGGAAGAGAACGCCTGCCCGGCTAACGCCCCCGCAGACCCACCTGGTAAATGTGATTCAGCTTGAAATGCTTCAGAAGCAGCAGCAGCAGCGCCGAAATAGCCTTCACGATGATCTCCTTGTGCCTGTTCACATCGATCCCCAGCTTCATGCTCTGAAGGACCGTGATCCTAAAGCAAAGCAGCGAGGGTGAGGAGCGGAAGGGCACTCCAACCGGACGGAAGCCGAGATCTGTGCAGCTTGGCGACCACTCTGTGCTGCCGGGAAGCCACAGGCACGGTGTGAAGCCCAGAGCCCTCAGCAGGCATCCGCTCCGGTGGCTGGGAAGCAGAGGAAAGCCCTTGCCTCATGCCCTCTATCCCTGAAGGCTTTGCCCAGCCATCAGGAGGGAGGTGAGAGGCAAGCAGGGTCAGCGCACTGATGTGCCGAAGGGCCGCTGGCTTCTCGTGTGTCGAGGCTGGCAGGGGCTGCCCTGTTTTGCAGACCGCATGGAAGCAGCTCTGGAACCCTCTTTGACCAAGGGGCAGGATGCAAATGCCTCAGATAAGCAAATAAATAATGGCTAATAGCCAACGAGAGAACGGACACACTCCATAAACGATCTAAAGCACTTTTAAAGCCATTTAAACCACTGGCCCTCACCAAATCTTGGGCAATGAATGTAATAAATTAAGTGTGCTGCATAAAGAGGAAACACTCCCTTAGCCGTCCCAGATCTGTCCATTTCATTGGATGGTATCCTCCATGCTGGGCCATTTTAGCATCCTGAGAAGAAAAGCTCCTCTACCGAACCACTTTCTAAATACCAGGTACGGTTTTATAAGTCTCAGTCAAATCCTCCTCTTCTCACTTAAGGTGCAGCCCTATGTCAGACGGGGCATCGGACGGCATCCTACTTAATTACACTTCGAAAGGGAAACGGCCCCGGTAGCCACAGTGGATGCATATGAAATGTCAAGCACTGCCCCCACTTGGGATAGTTCCTTCTCGGGCGTCCCTTCCTTCCCGGGACCTTTCCATGGCCATGAGCACGCCTGGTCTGCGCTGGGCTGTTCGTGGGCTTTCCCGTGCCCGTTCTGCCTCTTTGGCAGAGAGCGGCTCTTCCAGACTGGGGTGCTCCTGAGCCTCGTTGTTGTGTGCGGAGGGTGCAGGTTGGCTACATTTTGGAACCTGGACCAGTGAGGCTGCTACTGACATACAGGATTCCCTTTAAACCAGAGTTTAAAACAAGGCAAAACAAAGTACAAGCGGTCAGACTTCGATTGTCAAATTCTATCTCAAAATCGGAAACGTGGAAATCCCCTTCCTAGCTTTTTCATGTTTTTCACATCTCTCAAGTTGCCCTTTCACACAGCAGCTGACCGAGGAAGGACTTACGGCATCTCCTCTGGCAACACGTCTGCCAAGATGTTAATCGAGTCGGTTTTGGCTTTGGAGGTTGGAGCTGCAGCTAGCAGGATCTTTAGCAAGGCGATCTACAGCAAGGAGAACACCCCCAACACCCGTGCCCAAAACAGTCATTTTTAGGAATTTTAACCAGTGTCTCTTTCCCACATAATCACAGTAATAGGGATGGGAAGGACCTCCTAAAGCCAAAATGTTGTCTACCCAAAGAAAGTGGACTCTTGCTAGCCGCTTAGGATACCCAAAGAGCCAAACTGAAGCAACTATCCTTGCATTTACACCCCCCACCCCGCCCCAAGGCTTATCTAGAGCAACAGAAAGTGCCTCATCCCAGCTGGTGGTGTGTGTTCTTTATAGAGGCAGTCCCTGGGTTACAACCGCGTTTCCTTCCCGAGAAAATTTGTCATGCAAATCACATTTGTAGGTAAGCAGGGTTCCTGCATAGTTGGCTCTCCACATTTGTGGGAGTTAGGGGCACAGGACCCCGTGAAAGTGGAAAAAGTGCAAATACTTCTACCAGCACCCCAGCCAAATTCACCAGTGCCTCCTCTTTGCAGCGAGGAAATGCTGGAGAGAGTTCCCTCTCCAGATGGGCAGGGTAGGAAAGCATGCTTGGGAGGCCTCCCTCTCTACCCTTTTGCTTCCCCTTTCTCTATGGTGATTCTTTGGAGGCCTTCCCTCTTGCTTCCTCTCTATGATTTTCTTCAGTGATTTAAAAAAAATTACAGGCTTTATGGCAGTTCGTCCATAAATACGGGTGGTTCGTAACTTGGACATTCGCAACGTGGGGGCTGCCTGTATGCGTCACACACACAAGGTGCTCACCATGTACTGTGGCAGGTTGTACAGCATTGCCCGATAAAGAACTTCACAAGGCGTCTCCTGCACATCCTCTTCCCCCTGACATGCACAAAACCAGGTACAAACAGAGGGGCAGGAAGTAAGAGCCAGAAATTACAAGAGTCCACGGAGACGTCCCGTGAAGCAGGAAAGTAGGAACTGGCCCAGCAGTGGCTCCCCTGCTCCTTTGACGATGCCCTCGTCCTCCTGCAAATTTCCCCCAGGTCCACTTGGCAAACCCAAGTTCTGTGGGGATGCCACCGAGTGCTGTGAGATTGACACTTCCACCCACAAAGGGTGGGTCGGATCCTACATACAGTGACCAGGCAGCCGAGCCTCAACGCCTCTCCTGAAAGGATGCAGCTGCCAGGAAGTGGTGCTCCAAGCCTCCGTCGCTGGGCCCCCTGAGGGCTCGAGAGGGACAGGCACAGGGCGCCCCAGCAGGATGCTCACCAAAGACATGGGACACCTCTCCATCTCTTCTTCGTTCTTGATCTGCACTTCAGAGATTGAGATGTACTTGTGCTGAGGACGAGATGCGAAACAGAGGCGTGGCCCCGAAGTCAGAACTTGGTTCTTTCCAGTGTGATCTTCGACAGCAGGGAAGCCGAGTTTCCAGACTGGCTGCACACCATGGGAGCCAGTCGGAGAGTGGAAGTGAAGGCATCCAGGGCCGGCCAGCTGGAATCCCTCGGCAAAGCGTGAGTGCCAAGGGCGACCATGACTTACCCCATGGCCACCGAGGGAACGGTGTGTGACTCCCGCGTCCCAGCCGCACCAAGGGACAAGCAGCTCAACCACAGAAGTGCTTTCCCCGTGGGAAAATCCATGCCATCCCAGGTGAATTACCTGTTTCAGAGTCTTCACACTTTCATGGATGGGGTGTGGCAACCCCACCAAGGTATCTGTGTCTCTGCAGAGTGGCCAGGTGAGATGGTGGGTGGGAGGAGAGAGAGAGAGAGCTAAATTTTACAAATCCTGATGAAAGTGACACAACATAACACAAAGACTGCACTTGCTCACCTGCACCGGCCAGGTGGGAGCTAATGCCCATCCCCTCCTCCAGAATGCCTGTTCATTGTCAGCCAGAACAGAGCCAAGCCAGAAACCCACCGGCATCCAAGCGGGCAGTCACTCCTTGCCCGCCCACAGCCACATCGCCTCTAGGGAGCACGGCCTAGATTCCCCCGACTTAAGTTCAAGAACCAAGCAAAGGCATCTCAACTCCACCAGGCCTCTGGCACTGGCTGGAATCTAGCCTGCCTCTGTGCTAGATGGATGAACTGGGAGCCGTATTTTGGAGGCCTCAGCTCTTGTTGGCCTACGATGTTATTATGAATTCCACACGATATTACACTCAGTATTTTGAAGTGACTTAGAGAAGCAGGCAAAACGTTTCTTAATAGCAGCGATCCTCAACCTGTCAGTCAGCACACGTGCTGGACTGCAATTCCAGTCCTCCGCAGCCAGCACGGCTGAGAGGAGTTCAGTCCGAGGCATCTAGAGACTGCTAGGCTGAAGACGGCCACTTTAGATGCATGCAGATGCTACGGGACAGAAGCCGGAAGAGAGCGCCAGGTTGGGGAAGGCAGAGGGCAGCTGCTCCAGGCCACACAATCCCCCCGTGGGCGCTGCACGTATCCCGTGGGGAATGGGCGACACGCAGGCTCTGCGCAAGGGCACAGCCCTGCGTTTTGCGACATGCAAACCGGCACCAAGGGAGACAGGTCTTTTCTCCATCCGGCCAGCTGCCCGTTCGGTGACCAGCACGAAGCAAAGCCTTCCTTCAAGAGGCCAAGAATCGCCTCGAGGCGCAGGGGGAGCCGCCTGACACACAGCACTCACTGCCCAAGTGTGAATCCGATGAATTTGTTCCTGCTTGCCTCCAGGAAATGTTCTATGTCCTTCTGTCTGGAGTTGGCGGAGAAAGGGGAGCGGGGAAGAAAGGGGAGACACACATCAAAGATTATGGGTCAAAACACTCTTGTCCAGGAAAGGAAAAACCTCCTGCCTCCAGCCAGTCTTTGCTCAGAAGATCACAGAGGCGATATACAGAACTGCTCTGCATGCTGACCGGTACGCTGGCCAGGCAGGCCACTCCCTGGCTCTTTTAACAAGGACTAGAATGGCGGACTTTCCCCCTGCCTGTTTATTTCCTTTCCTTGCAAATTCTGTTTTGCCCAGTTTTAATTTTTGGCAGAGGCTGCCCGGTGCACAAGCGCTACCGAACGGACACCACTCATGCCATACGATGTTTGGCCCGGCAAAGCCGAACCCAGTGGAACTTCACTAGGAGCCCCACAGTCACGAATGTCTTGCATGCCTTCTGTGGGGCTGTAACCTGGAGGCAAATCCTGCACCTAGTTAACCGAGGTGTCACGTGACCCCCCCCCCCCGCCCCCACAACAGGGATTATTAACTACGACTGCCTTGCTGCCAGAAGGTAGGTCTTTGTGAGCTGATCCACATCGGCAGTCTAAGCCCCGCTGTGGCAGAAACAGAAAAACCTTTCCAAGGGGTCCATCACATCAAAAAAACAAAAAATGGCATCCAGTGCTACACTGGTCTGTTTTGAAGTGTCCACATTCGTCGCGACAGTCCCTCGCGCCTGCAAGGACAGTCCCAAAATCCGGGTGCTGCCCCATGCCAACAAATTGGTTCAAGCACTCTGGATCCCTGCCAGGAGCTGGAAGATCTAAAAAGCCCCTTCAGGATCAAGCCAGCCCCACATGCGTGGCATAGCAAGACAGGCCCTCCTTCCCTCGCGCAGGCTCCAGAGGGAACAGGAGAGCCTGAAGCGGCGATGGCGCCATCATCCCTGCTAAGCACAACATCTGGGCGCTTTGGCCCCACAAGCCCGGGATCCACTACACCGCTCATGACGCCTCCATGTAGAAAAGGAGGAAGGTTCAGGCCCAGTTCGTTTCCTCCTGTGCCGGTTTTCTGCTCACAGGGAGATCTCGCAGAAGGAAACATCAAAAGGCATCACATGCCCCGCGGTCCACACTGATGAAGCCACTTCGGTACCTCCTACTTCTGCGACAGGGATAAGATGAGGCTTCAGCTCGAGCAGGCAGGGCAGGGAAGGGAAATACCTGACTTTGGGGGCCCAGGGAAGGCCCTTTGGGAAGGAGACCCTCTCGACAGGTGGGCGTTGAACCAGGACCGCCTGGATGTCTGCCTCTCGCTCGAGCAGGTCCAGCTCCCCCTCGATGACGCCATTGTCCAGGTCATCGGCCTCCTCCTCGTCCGCCACCGCCTCGTCGTTCTTGAAGGGGTCCTTCTCGTTGTAGATGTCCAGGCTGTCCTGCTTCATCAGAGGCTGTCCCCAAAGAAGAGGAAGAATAAACATGGGGGGGGGGTTGTGAAGCTCACCCTGGACATACCTGGGCATTGGGGAGCAGGAGGGACCGTGGGGGGAGGTGTGGCCCTGCACAGAGGGACGAGTTCACGACTCAGCTGCGTGCCTCTTGGAATCACCATCACTGGGCCCCTAAAAGGACACCCTTCAACTGCCCCTCTCCTCCGCATGGAGGCCCGCATCCGAAGACAATCCAGCTCAGGTCTGGCTTTGACAACTCCTGCAACAGCTCTGTTTTAAAACAGCAACTCCAAATCTCTCTGCTGTGCTGGGCTGTTGCTTTAGTATCCAAGTGCACAGTCCATGGCCTGGGAGCCCAGATGGAGTCCTTGGCTGCAGCCGCCAAAGGAGCCTGGTGCTCCTGGCCACCGTGGAGTGAGTCACTTAGAGAAACTCCTTCCCCGCTGGAAAGTATTGCTGCTATGCAGACTGGTTGGGGTGGAGGAGAGAGGTCTCCACACCTCCCCCAACACTCCCCACACAGGCCCTTTGATGGTGGCAGGGCTGGTGTCCATGTACACAGCAACCCCAGCCAGCATCACACACAGCCCATGGGGCAGAACGGATCCTGCGATTCTGCCTTAGAGGCAAAGCTGATCAGAATTCAGAATGGACTGAATGCAACAGAATGAGAGTCAGTGAGGACAAGTGCCAAGTCCTTCCCCTAGGGAAAAGAAACCAAAGGCCTCGAGACAAGATGGCGAAGACGTGGCTCCACAGAACTGAAAAACACCTCGGAATAATTGTGGGCAACAGGCTAAATATGAGCCAATCATGTGACGCAGCTGCAAAAAAGGGCAAATGCTATTTTGGGAGGCATTAATAGAAGTATGACTTCCAAATCACCAGAAGTAGTAGTTCCCTTGTAGTCCTCCCTAGAATCCTGTGTCCAGTTCTGGGCACCAAGATTTAAGGAAGATGCAGGCAAATTAGAAAGGGTCCACAGGAGGGCAACAAAAATGATCCAGGGGTTGCAAACACTGCCCTGTGAGAGAGACTGAGGGAACTGGGCATGTTCAGCCTTGGGAAGAGGAGGCGGAGGGGGGACATGAGATCCCTCTAGAAGTACCTTCAAGGCTGTCCCAAAGAGGAAGGCCAAGATCTCTTCCTGCTGATCCCAGAGTACAGGACACAGAACAATCAGTTCAAGTTGCGACAACCTGGATTCAGGCTGGACATCAGGAAGAGCTTCCTCACTGTCCGAGCGATATGACAGTGGAACCAGCTGCCTGGGGAGGTGGGGGCTCTCCCACACTGGGGACATTCAGAAAGAAACTGGATAGCCCTCGAGTGGGATGGTGTCACGTGGTGTCCTGCCACAGCAGGGGGTGGATGCAAAGGCCTTCCTGGCTCTTTCCGACACTACAATTCTATGATTATTCCCAGAGGACCCAAGCTGGCGAGGCAGAATGTGTGGGCAAAGGTGCTCCTGAAAGTATTTTGGATCTGAGCCATGAAGGGCTTTAAAGGAGATTACCAACATCTTGTACTGTATCCAGAAATGCACTGGCAGCCAGTGCAAAGACCTTAAAAGAGGTCTTGTGTGGTCTTTCTATGAAGTCCCAGAGACCAGCCTGGCTGCTGTGTTTTGTACTAACTGCAGTTAGGCGCAAGGGTAGCCTTACGTAGAGGCTAGAAGTTGCCCGCAGGTGCACCACGGGGTCCGGGCCATTCTCCAGGAAGGGGCGCAGTTGGTGGATCAGCCAAAGTGGACAACAGACCCTCTTGACCACGGCTTCTATCTGAACTGAAATCTGAAGAGCCAGATCAAGTAGCACCCTCAAACTGCAGGCACGATCTTTCAGGGGGCATGTGACCCCATCCAGGACCAGCTGACACACCTCTGATCCTGGATTTGGACCCTCAACAGCAAGCACCGACCTTTTGTCTGGACCCAGCTTGAATTTGCTTTTGCTCATCCAGCTAAAAGTAGCAGCAGATGATGATGGAAAGGAGAGCTAGGTGTCATCGCATACTGAAAATGCCCAGCACCACTCCTCCGGAGGCTCTCCCCCAGTGGCTTCATGAAGATATTAATCAGGATGGCGCCTTGTGGGACTCAGCAAGTCAGCTCCTCTTTAGAGGTGCGACAGTCTCCAAGCATCACCATCTGGAAGCGACCTGAGAGGTAGGAAGGGAACCACCGCAAGGCACTCCAGTTCCCAACTCCCTGAGACAATCCAGAAGGATACCGCAGTCAATCGTATCAAAGGCCACTGAGAGGCCCAACTGGGACACACTCCCCCTGCCAATTCGAGGTCGTGCACCATCCTCTAGAGTGACCAGAGCACTTCCAGCTCCATGCCCTGCTCTGAAGCCAGCCTGCAAGGGGTCCAGGGAAGCCGCATCACTCGGGTCTGCCTGGAGCCGGAGAGACGCCACCCTCTCAATCTCCTTACAGAGAAAGGGCACGTGTGAGGCTGGTCTCACGCTGTTAAGGTCCAGGGGGCCCAAATCAGGTGTCCTGAGGAGGGCCATACAATTGCCTCTCTGGAGGAGGCATCGGTGACAAGGCGCAACCGCCCCCTCTGTGTCTCCACCCCTGGACGACCAGCCAGGAGGGACACGGGCCGAGCGGGCAGGCGGTTCTTCTCGCCAGTCCAGGCAGCCTGTCAACGCCATCAGGATTTACAAATGGAAAGTGATCCAGGATAAGCCATTCATGGAGTCGCTGGACACAGCGGTCCCAGCCTCCGCCTCCAGGATCGCATCAAGCTTGGCTCTTATCTGAGAAATTTTATCTGCGGAATGGTGGTTAAGAACGTCACAGTGAGTGAGGGATGGTGCTAAAGATAGGTCAGGGGACGCTGGGGCTTGGGACAAATCCCTCACCACCCTAAATAGCTCTGCCCGGTAACCATGGACCTCACATCTGAGTAGGCAAATACAGGCTTACACGCGAAATAAAATGTTAATTCACGGGAAAAGCACTTTCACTGAGTTTTGCTAATGCTCACATTTGCTGGACATAAACCAATTGCTCAAGAAGGCAAACTCTCGTATAATACATGCATGTGAGCAACGCGATGCACAGGAGTGTGGAATCGCCAGGGGATCGGGGCCCTTTTCTTTCCCGAGACATGCCATCCCCGGGGTGCTGCACAGGCCACGATGCCGGCACAGCATTCAGCAGCACGCCATTTCCCAGCGCCGCAGAGGCGGGAGCGCCTCTCTGGCCGGCCAAAGTGCCGGATTTCGTTTCAGAATGAGCCGGATCCGGGTGCCTTGCAGCGAGCACAGACTCGGCTGCAGGGGGGGTGTTTGGGGGCAGCGTGGCCTGCATGCGGCTTCTGGACCGCCCTCCCCCCGCAGGGCCCGGGGAAAGGCAGGCCCCGCACTCTCACCCTCCTGCTCCGGTGGCCCCGCTTTGGCGGCAGCTGCTGCGGCGGCTGCAGTGGCGGCGGCTCCACCAGCTCGATGGTGTAGGCGGGAGGGGAGGCGGCCCTCATGCTCCGCATGACCTGGATGCTGTCCTCTGGCAGCGGGGGCAGGCCCAGCTCCAGGCGCCTCTTCACCTTCATGGCCTGCAGGGCAGCGAAGCCCCCCAGCGTGAACTGGTGGGAGAGAGGGCAAGGCAGCGTCATGGCTGGGCTGGGCTGGGGTCTCATGGGGCGGCCGGGTGGCCCACCAGCCACGGAGCACCGTGGGCCACCTGCAGCTGCCCTGGGACGCACCGGCACCCGCCGGGACACCCCCCTTGCTCCCCCCGCCCTGAGCGGTTTCGCTCCCTCCTCTCAATTTCCGGAGAGACCCTTCCCCAAGCACGCCCGCCCTTCCCCACTGCCACCCAGCTCTGCCAGCTCGCCCTGGGGCTGCCCCCGCCCGCCCCCCGCACACCCCTCCCCACCTGCCCGCCCCCACCCGGCAGGGACAGGCCAGCCTCGCAGCTTTGCAGGAGGGGAAGAGGCCGAAGTGGCGGGCGGGGGGGGGGGGGGAGGAAGCAAGAGGGGCCACCAGCTGGTCAGCCCGAGAGAGGAGCTGCATCCAGGGGGTCGGGGAACCACCGGGCCCATGAGCAGGAGGCCAAAGGGGCGAGGAGGAGGGGGCAGATGCCCATGGCGCTTGGGGATGGCTGGGGGGCAACTTGCTCCGGCAAGGCCCAAGACGAGACCGAGCCTTTTCCACTTCCGCCCAGACGCCCTGCCCGGGCTCCGTTCCTGCCTGCAAAGTGGCCCCCTAAAGCCAGGACGTGGAACCTCTGCAGCCCCACCCCTTGGGGGCCTTCGGGCGGCCAGGCCGCCTTCCCCGGCCTTTGGGCAGATCTATCTGCATTCTGGAAGCTGGACTGCCTCTCCTAACGCTCTGCTGAGGGCTTTAAGCTCAAACATGCTGGCATTTTGACTCTTCGCCTCTTGTCTGTGGCCCGGTCGGTGTCGCCTCCGGCACCACCCAACTCCAGGATGCCCTGGTCCCCGAGCAGCGCCGCTGAAGTCACCCGTGGCTCGCACCGAAAGCAGTTCCACAGCTCTGCCTTCGAGGCGCAGGCCTCGGCACTTTCTCCTTCCTTCCGACAGCTCATGCTGCCCACATGGCTGGCGTGGGCGTTGCGCTCCCACAGACCACGCAGCGCACGACCCTGCGCTGGCCGGTGCCTGGCCACCACAGCTGCCGGACCGGGTTCAAAGCTTCGGGACGTGGGGCCTCCCGATCCACCGTGGCGCTCGGACCCGGTGCCGCCCCATTTGCACCGCTGCCTCCAGGTTGGGGCTGGATGGCGGCGCCACGACATCAGGCTCCACCGAGCACCAGACCAAAGTCCACAAGCGGCCCTCGCCCTGCGGGCTCCCCACAGCGCTGCCAGCGGGAAAAGTGGGACCTGCCGGGAGCCTGTGCCTGCAGGCAAAACCACGAGTGGGGTGCCTGCCGCTGGGCCAGAGGGACCGCGACCCCAGTCCAGGAGAGACATCTGGATGTCCTTATTTTGTCCCTCTGCAGCGGGCCACGCACAAGGCCCCGTCCAGGCGCAGACCCGCTCAGCGCAGGGGCCCGGCTCCATTTCAGAGGGGCTCGGGGCCACGTGCCCAGCTGCAGTGGGGCTGAACACAGAAGAGGCCGGTCAAAGCTCCTACGGGCAGCAAGGCAGGCCTAGGGGAGGTGCTTCGACCTCTCGGAATTGGGGGAGAGGTGCAAACTCCAGAAACCACCCAAGGATCCACAGCCAGGCAAAAGCAGGGACGGATGTGGAGGGACCAGGCTCCCTGTGGGGCTGGACTTAGCTCTCCAGGTCTGCTCTCGCCACAGTGTCTGAGGAAGAGCAGCTGCAGCTTCTGACCAGCTCAGGGCCAGCACCCCGTCCTCCAAGTGCTCTGCTCTAGCTTTCCCCGGGACACGATCCCGCCACGAGCCCGAAAAGCCGCACCGGCCGAGGCCCCTGCGGGAAGGCATCTCGCTCACCACAAGGACTTTCCAGAGCAGAAGCAGGACCTTCTTCATGGGGAAGTGTGGCGCGTGCCCGCTGCAGAATTTGGTCACCATGGTGAAAAGCAGGAGGGCAAAGGGCTCTTCGCTGTGCACAGGAAAACCTGCGGGGGCACGAGGCCCACAGGAGTAAGACGCGAGCCCCGGACCGGGCCAGACCGGCCGCCTGGCCAAGAGCAGCGTTTCGGCCCCGGCCTGGCCTGGCCCCTTTGCCTTGGGCCCCTCTGACCGCTAGGGTGCAGCCCAAGGATTTTCCCCAGAGGGGATTTGGCCAGGGGGCAGGAAAAGTCACCCCCCGCCTCCACCCCAGTGCCAAGAGCCACAGAAACCCACTCAGCTCGGTCCTGAATGTCTCCCGGGAGGCCTGCCAGGCCGGCGGGTCGGTCTCCATCTCCACGCGGATGGATTCCACCATCAGGTACATGACGCTCAGCAGCACCCTGACCGGGAAGTGGAGAGGCGGGACTCAGGCCCTCAGCACATGCACGCGCTCCCTCAGCTCCCGGGGGGTGGGGGGCAGAGAATTCTGAGCCCGGAGACCCAAAGCTGCCGGCAAGTGGCCGACACACCGTGGGCATTCCTGGCAGTTTCCCCAGTCAAAATCAGCCCCAAGGTGGGGACAAAATGGCGCCAGGATGCCCCTTCCCAGGGGCCTGCCGTGGCCAGCGGGGGGGAGCGGGAAGGCCTTTGCCTGCAAAGCAGCCCAGGCGGTGCAGAAAGGGCCGTCACACGCCGACACGGAAAGCTGCCACTCCGATAAAATCCAGATTCTCCTTCGTGGCTGTTCCGTGTGGAAAAGGGCAAGAGAGCCAATCACAAATGCTCTGCCTTCGCCCGGCTTCGGCTTTCCCTTCCCCTGCAGCTTGGCTCACTTACTCAAGTCACCTCATTCGCTCGTTGGGCAGTGTGGCTGTTCTCTGACGGTGGGGATGGCGCAGGCTGAGTGTTGCAGGGGAAGCGGACGAGGGAAAGGGCAGCTGGGAGGAGAGCCATGACCTGAGAGGCCCCTCGGTTCTGGCCCGCCCCTTTGCCGCCCCTTCAAGGGGACGCCGGGGGGCGGGGGCCGAGCGTGCCTTTCCCTTTCCCGTGGCCTTGGCTTTCACCCGCAGCTGGCGCGAAGGGCGCAGGAGGCCGCCGCTCACCTGAGTTCCGTGCTGTCGGCCAAGGAGATGGCCGGCTTCCTCAGCGCGGTGCTGCACGCCTGGCTGTTGCTGAAATTGGGACGGGGAAAGAGAGTCACCATCCACCCCCTGTCTCCTTCTCGAGAGTTCAGCTGGCACGGGGGCCGTGAAATCTCAAGAAGCTAGTCCTCACGGGCACCTTCTGCCACAGACAGCATTCTGCAGGGACCGCCTTGGAACGGCCTCCGTCTGCGTGACTGCGCTGGCGCACGGCGTTCCGAGATCCTTCCTCGCCTCCCGGGACGCGATGGCCGGGCACGTGGGACGGGGCCTGTCTGGAGGTGGCACCCAGAATGTGCGATCGCCTCCCAGAGGAGGCCCACCTGCCCCACCGCAGAGAGCAAGCAGCAACGCCTGGCTGGTTTTCCTCAACAGGCATTTCTTGCATGCTGCCTTAAATTAAGCTCCGACCGCTGCTGTTTGCAAAGTTCTGCTTTAGACTATTTGATTATTATTTTTACTGTATGTATGTATTTATTTAGAGCATTTGTATGCCGTCCCATCGCATAGCCTCGGGACGGCTTACATAAATGAAATAAAACATAATACAGATAAAATCCAGATCCACCCTGGCTGCAGATTAAAACCTATAAACTGATATTAAAAGTTATTAAAATATCATTGAAATAAAAAGGTCTTGGCCTGGCGCCGAAAAACAAATAACGACGGCACCAGGCGGACCTCTCTGGGGAGCGCGTTCCACAGTCGGGGCGCCACCGCAGAGAAGGCCCTGCTCCGCCGGGTGCTCTGCCTCCTGATGTCTCTCCCGGAGGGCTCCCGGCTTGCGCCAGCTTATTATTTGTTGGCTACCAATGGCCCCCTTGGTCATGTATCTTTATTTAGAGTATCAGGAAAACAAAAGCTCACGGAAGAGCCACAACAGGGACCCCACCACCCAGTTAGTTTCTGGACCCAGTTCAAGGCACTGGTTTCATGCCCTAACGGCTCTGAGATCCCAGTATGACTGTCTACACCAAGCAAGATCGCTGCCCCCTCCGTCCCACTGGCCACGCGGGACCCTTGTGCCGAGCGGCCCCGTGGGGAGCTGGGCTGCCGTCGTGTGTGCGGAGCGCTGGGCTGGGTGGACCTTGGGTTTCAGGGCGGGCCACAGGGTAAGGGCTTTCTCGGCTGTGTCTCCATGCTCGGGAATCCCCTTCCCAGGGGGAGACGTAGCACCTCCTCATGGAAAACCCCGAAGACCTTGCTTAGCCCAGCCTGCGCTTTACCTCTCGAAAGCACCAGCTGCCACGGCCGACGTGGGTGTGTTTCACCGAAATTGTGCACAGCCTGGTTTGCAGTGCTGGAACCTGCCTGGGGGGGCAGCCCGCCCTGGTTGGGGGCAGGGGTTAAAGGTCTTTTAAATAAACGAAAACCTCAAAGCAACCCTACTAGGCTCTCGAGGGCCTGAAGGTGCGGGAATCAAAGTTTTGCACCCTTTTACAACAAACAACAGCGTTCCCAGGCTGTCCGTGTGTTTCCGAGCGAGGACGCTGCCTGTAATGCACACGGATGTGTTGAAAACATTTTGTGCTCGTATACGTGCAAAACGGTGAGCAAACTTTGGATTGCTGCGCCTTCACAGACACCTGACAGGGTGCCCCACTCTGTACCTGCGGCACTGTGTTCAAGGCACGCACTCCATCGAACAGCCGGGCCTGCGTGAGTGCAGGGGGAGAAGGCGGCTGGGCCGGGTCGGGCCAGCCTGAAATGCGCTCTGGCTCCATTTAGCTTTGCCTGGGCTGGTCCCCAAAAATAGAAAGCCTGAAAACAAAACCACGGCTCTACTCGTCCCGTCCTTTACAAGAGCTGTTTATACCACACGACAGATGGTGGTGATGAGCTCCACGAATCCGTTTGTGTATTTTTGTGAAATTACATGTCCTTTCAGCCTGTCACCTTCAGGAACAAACTCAAAGGCATCGAGTCCCGAACGCACGTCAGCTTAAGAGTTTTTGTCAAAGGATCGCTTACGCCATTTCCATGCTGAGCAACTCCAGGAATGCGGTGAACGTTCCCATCTGGTACAGCAAGAAATTGTTGTGTCGCGCCCAGTCAAGGACCTCGGCTTCGGTGTCGCATTCCCCAAAGACACCTAGATGAGGGCAGGAGAGGAGAGACCAGTGAGGAAAGAAACACAGGATTCATTAAACGGTGCGACTTGCCAGCAAAAGATGTAGTGATAATGTGCAGTTTGGATGGCCTTCAGAGAGGACCATTTATTTCCTCCATCATATTGATGGTGCATCTTTGTTCCTGCCGGGAATCCAGGGCAGCTTACATAACCCTCCTCGCCACGTTATGGAATGCGCTCCCCAGAGAGGTCCACCTGGCGCTGTCGTTATTTGTTTTTCGGCGCCAGGCCAAGACCTTTTTATTTAAGCGGCATTTTAACTGTTAATATTATTGGATTTTATCTGGCCAGGGCGGCTTATTTTATATTGTATTTTTGTATTTTTAATCTAATGTTAATATTTTTTTAATTTAAGGATTATAATTATTTTAATTAATTGTTGTAAGCCGCCCCAAGGCTTCGGCGAATGGGGCGGCATATAAATATTTTAATAAATAAATAAATAAATAAATAAATAAATAAATAATGTTCTCTTCGCAACAACCCTGTGAAGCAGGCCAGGCTGAGAGTCAGTGGCTGGCCTGAAGTCACGCCGTGAGCATCATGGAAGTGGGAGGTACATCCCAAGGCCCTGCCCAACACACGGGCCAGTCAGCCTCAGTCAGATGGGACGGGATGGGACGGGACGGGACGAATTCACGGAGCAGGACGCACAGTTAAGCCACGGCGCGCTTTCCACCAAATGTAAGGAAGGCTGACCGTGGGGACGGACCAGTTCCCGGAGGAGATGCCTGCCAGTGGCTACCGGTCCAAGCAACCCGCCTGTGTTCTCCAGGGGCTGGGGAACATGGTTGGGAGGGTGCCACTGCACTCACCTCCTGCTTGTGGGTGGCTCCCAGGCAGCCGTCTGGTGGCGGCTGGAGCAGGAGGATCTCGGTCGGATCCAGCACTGCTTTTCTGAGGTTCTCAACCGAAGTGTTAAGATACTTGGCCTCATACATTTGGATGCTCACAATCATCCTGACCTGTTCTGGATCCTACCCTTTGCTCACCCAAAGCTCAAAAGCACCCTGTGGGTCCTTCTGCGTCAAACGAGGAGCAGGGCAGCCAGAGGGCTCCCCAGCCTCACGCACGAGGGATCTGTGGAGTTGGAAGGCGGCTTCTGGCTTTGCTGGATGCTCAGTAATTAAACGCCACACTGAACAAGGTAGACGCTTCACACAGGCATCCCTGGAGAACGAGGGAGCGTGTTTCTCGGTGGCTGCTGCGTTCGCGCAGGTAGCGGTTCACCATTACCTTGGGCCAGGTAGAGAATCACACGGGCCACTTTCAGCCTCTTGTCCCTGTTGACCACCTCCAGCCCGTCCAGTAACCGCATCACGTAGGCCTTCTGCCGCGCCAAGTCCAGCTCCGACCATCGCCTGCCCTTCACTGAGCAAAGGGAGCACGGCATCAGACAAGCTCGGCTTACCAGTTTCTGCAGGCAGGCGGGCCGTTTCCCCGAAGGAAACGGCCCTCTCAAACCTGCTGCTTCTCAGATGTGCAGGGCCACAACTCCCATCCTCCCCAGCTTGTCTGGCCGTCGCCCGTGTAGGAGCTGGGTAAGGTAAGAATTAAAGTCACACCCCACTTCCTGCAATTCTGGGCTTGAGGGGCTGCAGAATAGCCCTTCCCAAGAGAAAATGTGGGTTTCTGCCTCGCTGTTAAAAACCGGTTCCTGGAGCTCCAGTTTGGAAGCAAGCCGGGGAAAAAGGCATATCCCACCCTCTGCTGCGTCCTTCCTGTATTTTTCCATGCCCCGCCCCATTAGACGATACCTTGCGTCTGAAAATCCTCTTCAAAGCACCTCCTGTTGAGGGCGAACTCGGATTCCTCCGTGTAACTGTACAGTTCTGTTAGAGAGTTGAGAGAGAGAGGAAGCTGCAGTGAGGACTCGACTATTTACCATCCCGGTCCGAGCCAGCCCACCGCCCTCAGAGGGGCGCCACGGAGAGGAACCCAAGAACCAGCAGGAAGTCCAGTCTGGACTGGGTTCAGATCCCTGCGGACTCGCATGCCCCGCTGGCCGGCCGCCCCCGGGCAGTTTGCTTTTTCTCAGACTAACTCCCATGCCTGGTGAAGTGGACCATGCCCACGAAGCTTCAGCCAGACTAATGGACTTATTTGTCTTTAAGATACAGAAACAAGGACTCGTAGTCTTTAAGGTATAGAAATAATAAAATAATAAAAATACAAGACTCTTTGCTGGTTTCACTGCATCAAACTGACATAGCTGCCCCTCTGGAAAGAACAATAAATTCTGTCTGTCCGTCCCTCCCGGGGCTAAGCTGCAGCCCCTCTTTCTATATGTATTTTCCACCCATTTCGGCACCTCCAGCCCCGCGCACACAGTGTGTGAGGGAGGGAGGAACCTCTCCTGCTAGGAACATTCTCGGGCTGGCCTGGACACAGTTGGCCTGGGCTCCCTCGCGAGGAAAAGCCCCCTGGACAAAGCACATTCCAGGCCCGTCCAGCAACCAGAGGCAACGGGCTAAAAATAGCCAGCCCAGCAAGCTCGGCGGCCAGGACCAGCACCTCGGACGGGAGATCGCGTGTTCCCGAGCAAAGGGGCCTGGCAGCAGGGAGCTGCAGGTCTGCCTTTGCAGGTTGCAAGCGGGGCTGGCCCTCGGCAGGGTCACCTTGGCCTGGCACCGAAACCGAGCCGGGCAGGCGGTCACCTTGGCCTTCGGTCAGCATCCCGAGAGCTACCAACTGGCACCTGGCATGGAGGAAGCACGCCTGGCGGTGAAGAGCTGCGGAGCAAGGAATGTGCTCTCGGCCAGCCCGAGTGGCGTTCCCGGCCCCTCTGCCACAAAACCCCTCTCCGGATTTTGCCAGGGCTGCTTCCTTTCAGCAAGATGACTTTTGGATGGGGGTGGGGGGAGGGAAGGTTTGCAGTATAACTCCTTTTGGTGGGGAGAATAGAGTCATTTTGCCACTGCTTTCGTTTTGGTCTCCTCAGAAGTAAGGAGCCGTGTATCCACTCAGAAATAAGCAGGATACGCCTCGACCTGGCTACTCAGAAGCAAGCAGGAGTGGATCACTGAGCTGCGCTTGACAGACAACTGGTGGGGGGGGTTAATGAGGGGTCCTGCACTGACCCTTCCGGCCCCTTCCGACTGGACTATTCTACGAAAAGAGGACCGCAGACACCAGTTCTGTGTACACCTGCTCCAGGCTCTGCACGGGTGCTCAGAAGGAAGGAGGACCAGCCCACCCGTGGTTCCTCCCCGTGGAACTGAAGTGCTCCCTCCGTGGCAGCCGAAGCAAGGCAAGGGAAGAGGGTCCCACGGTGAGGGACCACCGGAGGAAACACCCTCCTTCTGGTGCCCACACTCACCCAAGGAAGGCCCTCCAGTCTCCCCCTCGGCTGCCCGGCCAGTGGCCTCCTCGCTTCCGCAAAGTGTAACATGAGCCCATGCGCCCCGTGCCCCAGTGCCGCCTGCCCCAGCCGGGACCGAGCCCCCCCTGCCCGCCCCATGGGCCCTGCCCCAGGGATGACTCGGGGGCGGAAGGCGGAGCAGAGCTGGTCACAAGTGCGGGCATGTTTCCGGCCCCGCAGCAGGACCCTCTTCGGGAAACAGAGACTCCCCGGCGAGGACCACGGGGGAGGGAAGACCCCGGGAGAGGAGCCCGATCCCTCCCCAGATGCTTCTCAGAATGAGCGTGTGCCGCGTGCTGTGAAGGTTGCCGGAGGCCTCGCTCGCCAGGGTGAGCGGCACGCACACCCGCCCGGGAGCCCGCCCAGAGGAGAGGCGCTCCATCAATGCGGACGGGCATCATGATCCAGTGGCCCCATGGGTGGCCGCCATGCGGGAGGACCTGCCCTGAAAGCAGCGGGGAAGGGGAGGGGAGGGGAGGGGAGGGGAGGGGAGGGGGCCCAGGCCTGTAGCCACGTCCTCACGTGCTCCCGCAACACCCGAGTCAGGAAGCGCTACACCCAAAGACCTCCAAACGGCTTGAGGCAATCGCGGGAAGGAATTCCACTCTCCGTGGCTGCTGGCTGCCCCCAAATAGCTCGCTGAACCGAGCAGTGTCTCACCAGCATCATCTCAGAGCACCAGTTTATTCATTTGCAACATCTCCGGGCTGCCACTTCAGCCCGCCAACAACAGAAAGACCAGAAAGCTGCGAAAACGATGCAGCAATGAAACAACGTCTTTGCTCAAGGCTAACTTACGTCATATGCCAGGCAAATAGAAAGACTCGTGCTGGGCACCAAAATGATGCCAGGCAACCCTCCCGAGAAGGGGGCACTGGCAGACAGCTTGCCAGTCGCCTGGAGGGCGTGGAGGAGGGTCTGAACTTACTGTCTCCGCCCCAAAGAGTTTACAATGGAAAATTCTATGCAGGGGAGGCGACAACCGGCAGGGGGAGAATGGAAGCAGGGAAAACACTCATTCCCGCTGCAGGACGGACCCTGGCTGCGGTCCCCATCCAGCGCTCGTGTCGACATCACGCCTGCAGCCACAGTCTAGCCGTCTGGGGCTCCCTGGACACCTGGCTGCTCCCTTGCCAAAAGACTTCCCAACTTTTGCAATGGTTTTGCCCCACTCTGAAAGTTGCTGACAGTCGCAGCCTTCAGTTGTGATATGCTGCGGTTTTCCATGTTTGGGGCACCTCTGATCCCACTGCCGGGCTCTGGTGCCATGTGGCTGGACTCACTTCCGTCGGTCCCAAGACTGCGCAAGGATTTTAAAAAGGAAAAGGAACAGCATTCCCATCCGCTAGCGGCAAAGGAACAACGGCGCAACATCGGTGGCGATGCAAGACACTGAAATCTACTCAAATGAATAGAGCTGCCACAGTGAGGAGAATCTGGTTTTGGAAATGAACTGAAGCTACCAAGAAGAACCGCTGAAACGCACTTGACCTAAATACACAGAAATAGGCGGCTCTTTCGAATGACTATGCATATTTGATGGTCGTTCCCATTTTACAACATAAAGCATTTCTTCTCCGTTTCCAGGAAGGGAGGAATCTTCCTCCTCGAATTTTTACTAACAATCGTCCCCGAATATAGTTCAATGGTTGTGTTAAGCGATGTCCCCGCAGATGGGTTCCGCCATGCCGTTAAAAATGGGACCACCAAGCAGAGGGCAGCCCAACCCAGCTGCAGCTCCCAGCTTTGCGGCTGGCCCCGGGCTAGCGGGCTACAGGGGGTGGCCCTGTGAATCCATTAAGGACGGGCCAGGAGAATGGTGCTTTCATGCACAAAATCCCCTAGCAGGCTTCTCTTGCTTTCACTTCCCCCTTCTCCCTTTGTGTTTTATTCTTTCAGAAAACAATAAGCAATGCTATTTTAAAAAGAGACAACTGACATGAGAAAGGACACCTGGGGCTGTGTGCCTCTGTTCAATAGGTCAGGCAGGTTTCATATCCCTTCCAAAACCTGCCGGGCCTGTTTCGCCACAGGCAAGCAGCAGAACAAAAGGAGTGGTGTGGGGGGTCCAAGTCCTCCAAGGAACTGAAGTCTGTCCGCAGGCATATTGCGAGGCTCCTTGCTCCATGGACCAGCAATCCCCACGCCCAGCTCGCCAAGGCACAGCCGCCCCGCCCCCGCCATGCCATGCCCCCCCCCTTACCTGACAGTTCGGCGGAGCGGCAGTCAGTGTCCCCGTATTCGAACTCCAGGTTGGGGCAGTCCACGGAGCCCTGCAAAGGAGGACCCGGGTTAACGGAGGCCGACCCCGTGGGCCGTCGCAGGTGCCGCCCAGGGAACAGGGCCGGATCCAGCCATGGCCAGCGCCCCTTGGCAGCCCTCGGCAGTGAGTGGGGCCCCCGCTCAGGCCGCCGCCCCGTGTGGAAAATGGACATCACCAGGAGCCTCGGGGTCGGCAGCAGAGGACGGACGCATGGGCCGGCTGTCTAGTGGAGCCTTCTGCAACCTGACCTCCATCCCAGAGGATGCTGGGAGCTGTAGTCCAGCCCATCTGGAGGGTGTGGAGGTGTGGACATGCGTGTGGTAGGCATGTCGTGAGCGGAGCCGGCTGGAGCCGGGGTCAGACTAGATGGCCCGGGAGGCCCCTTCTGACTCGCGCTGTCTGTGTGTGAGCTGAATTCTTCTGCACAGGGACCCTGCCACTGCCACCACCCCCCCTCTGAGGAGGCCAGGCTTTTGTCCCATTCCCCACACGCACCACAACCCCCCAGCCCCGTGGCGTCACCCATAAATGTCGCGCATTTTTCCTCCACGCGGAAGGAAGCAGGTGCTGCCCCCGCCAGCAGCATGTTATGGGGCCGACCCAGAGCAGCCAGGCTCTTTCATCCGTCGCTCTTCAGACAGGTTGGACCACAAATCTCAGCATGGGCAGCTGGGGATGCTGGGAGCTGTAGTCCAGCGCATCCGCAGGCTGCCTGGCTGGGCACAGCTTCTCAGGGACGGCTGCAGGGCTTCAGGCTGGGTCACCCTTACACGGAGGCAACCCGCTGCCTGGCAAGTTTGTGTGGCTTGGGGACGTCCCAGGCTTACTCCCAAGTAAGCGTGCAGGGGACGGCGGCTCTGACGAGCACCTCACTGTCCTTTCCTCTGCAGCCCCCTCGGGGGTCTCTCCCCGCCTGAGAAGTCCCAAGAGCATCTGGGATGAAGCCGCTTTGTGGGGTAAACAGACTCTACCGGGGGGGGGGGGGGAGGCGCTCAGCCCACTCACGACCCCCATTATGCTTTTCCCAGCCTTTTAATACTGCCCCAAGGCTACACTTTGACCGAGATGGAAGGCAGCCCCATCAGATCATTGCCAAAGCACCCCCCCCCCGCAGAACATTGTCGGGGCAGTAGGCACGGGGGGGGGGGGACAGGAAGGCCAGCAACCACGAGAACGCTGGCAACAGTGGCTGAATGCCTCCTTTCCACAGTCCGTCCGTGCGGCTCCTTCGCTGCCTGCACAGCGCTACTCGAGCTTTGCTGGCTCCGCTCCCCCTGTGAGGTAGGCCACTGTCCCCTCGCTGCAGGGGAGGGAGCTGAAGCGGCCAGAGGTGCCATTTCGCAAAGGCAGCAACGGGGCTTGGCCACCAAAGCAGAAGAATGATCGCAGCAGCGCAAAGCCGCAGGCGTGCAGGATTAACCCCACGCGCGTGTTCGCAGGCCTGCAAATGCCCTTCTGGGCACGGGAGGTGCCCAGCGAATGCTTCCGCGGGGAGAAGCAGGACGGCACTGGCACCATCCCTTCCTTCCTTCGGCAGCTCCAGCCAGTCAAGCCGCCTCATCGCGGCAGCCGGGCGGGCCGAGGGAGGGTCTTCGCAGGAAGCGCGGCGCCCGTGGGCCCCAACCGCGCTCGCTCCCGCCCACGGTCCAGGCTCCCCTCGCTTGGGCGGCACACGGAGGGCCGGCAGCTTGCTCCTCCGCCACGCCACCGTGGCCCGGGCCTGCTGCCAACTGCAGAGCAGCGACCCTGCTGGGGAGCCCCTGCTGGGCCTGGGCCCCGGCATGTGCCCGCCACACCTACCCCGGCGCCAGCCTCGAACCAGGTGCGTGCGGCGCACGGAGGGCTCTTCCAGAAGCACAGGTGCCCTCTGGGCAGAAGGGCCCCTGCCTCTCCGGGGGGCGAGCAGCGCATCTGGAACAGCGCGTGCCGCCCAGGTCTGAGGAAGGGCATCCCAGACAAGCATCCACGGCGGGGGGGGGGGCCTCGCCTGGGCACATGCATTGCCCTTCCACAGGGCTGCGCGGACGGAGGGTTCCGCTGCCGCAAGCAGGAGCCAGTGCACTGCTTGCTTCAACCGAACGCACGGAAGTCACGCCGCAGGTAGTGCGACGTCAGGTAAAAAAACACACTTCCAAGAGTCGCATTGAAACAAAAGAACACGCGTGCCTTCGGGGCTTGACGGGAAGAGCGCGGGAGTCTTTCTGCGCCACTTGCACCAGTTCCTAGCCCAGCACCCCACCCAGTTCGGCCTCCAGACAGGGCTGGACTCATGCCTGTTTGCAACCCGAGCAGACCATGGACAATCAGGGAGGGCCACCCTCCTCCATCATCCCCAGCCTGCCGACGACTCCCGAGGGTGCCAGATTGAAAGAGGAGGAATGCCCCAGTGTTCCTGTGCCCCCCCTGCCCCCAGCTGCAAGACCATGTGCTTCACCTGCCTGCAGGTGCCCCACCCTCAGGGGGTCTGACCCACAAGTCACCTCCAGGTAATGGGGCTCTCTGGGATCCACCGTCACGGAGCGACCTGTTCCCCCAGGAGCACGGCGCACCCACGTCACCTGCATGGGTGCAGCCACACTTCCAGTGTCCCCAGTTCCCCGTGGGGGATTCTGCAGTGGGAGGGGCGGAAGCACGAGGAAGCTGACATGCCCCAGTTCCCAGCCTCAGGGACCGCTCAGCCCCAGCCATTCTCCGCAGGCAGCTATTCTGGGAAGCGAAGGTTGCATAACGCAGTGAAAAATCAGGACTTAGGAGGTGGGCGGGAAAGAGGCACGGGCTGCTCACCAAGCAGGCTTTGGGGTATTAAAGACTAACAAGAGCTCAGTTAATTAGCAGACCCCGTCAGCACTCATCCATCCAAGAAATACCACTGCAGGAACAGCAGGAGAAACGCTGTTTTGGTTTGCACAGGAAAATGGATTTCTCAGCCAGAGGGTTTTTTGGCATCCCAATTCTCAGAGCAAAGGCCAATAATCGAAAAAAGGAAGAGGGCAAATTGATGGGAGCTTTAACAGATCAAAGCCGCAGCACTTCAGTGCAGGCTGTTTTCCCAGCGAGCTGCAAAGGACAAAACCGCAGCGGCCAGAGACCAGCGCTTTGCAAGCGGAGTGAATTACAAACGCCGGCTGCATCCATTCACAAAGGACTTGAGCCGCGTTGCTAAATGAACAGTTTTAATATTAAAAGCTCTGCTTCTGACCTTTGCGGAGTGAAAAACTCAGTTCTTCATTCAGACCTGAATCTGGGCATGTACAACCGTCTTTTGGCCAAAGTCTCCAAAAAGTTCCCCTGTGGAGCCCCCGCTTCTCAGTGGGCTCAGCAAAGGAAGCGATTTCTGTGGGAGACAGAATTCCTAGACTACGGTCTCCCGCACTTCAGGAAACCCGTCTAGGAATATTTGAGGCTCACCTTGATTTTACTTCCATCGTCGCCCCAGCTTAAAATAAAAGCCTTCCCCAACCCAGATGTGCTAGAAGTACGACTCCCAGTTTGCATGGCCCATAGGCGGGCAGGGATGATGGGTGTTGTGCTCCGGCACATCTGGAGGGAGGCAGGGTGGAAGCACTGGGTTGGACAGACTGCGAAAGGAGGGCTTTTTGGACAACCTTAGGTGCAACAGCTAAGCAGAACCTCCAGCTCCAGGAGCAGAATGGCTGTCAACACACGCCGCTGCAGAGAAAGGGGGCAGCTACCGCATTAATGGTCCCCGACGCTGGGTCAGCTGCCGGGGGGAGGCTCGGCCAAGGCGCGTCGGGCACGGCTCCGGAGGCTTCCGGATCGCTTGTCTGGGGGACTGGCCCTCCCAGCACTCACTGAGGACGGTGGCCCAATGATGCTCCAGAGATGCCCACGGCCTCTGCCCAAGCGGCGCCTCCGCCGACTCGCCCCTCTCCTTGCCCTGTCCTGGGCCGGCCCCACTTCTGCCTACCTCTAAGACACATGCCAGGGCCACCACCCCCCCCCACACTTTAGATTCTCCTCACCCACTTTAGATTTTTCTTCTCGGTAAATAGAAGATGTTAGAAGGATTTAATGACAAATGGGATTTTATTGTGCTTAGCATGACTAATGGGAGTTCAGGGGAGGTTGGAAGGGAAAAAGGAAAGCAGAAGAATTTGAACTGGTTAGAAAATCTGTTGATGTATAGAATGTTTTTTTTTTTTTCCTGTTGCAAACTCTCATAGAGCGTGCAAAGATATGAAGAGAGTCAGTTTTGGGGGCTGCAATATATGGGCTGTATTTGTTTATAATTCCCTTGGTAACTTTATTCTCTTCACTTTAGACTGTTCTGCTCATATTCGTTTTTCTTTTATTCTACATTTTCTTCTATGTATTTGTATATGTTAAGCAAATAAAAATTAATTTTTAAAAAAAAAAGGAATGCAGTTTAGTAAAAGCTGAGAGATTTATACCAGGAAAATCTGCATCGAGACCAAAAGGCCACCCACACTGGTTCCAGAAGCCATTTCAATCCGGGTTCAGACTTGGGTCGCCTTGTGGGGGACTGGATGGGCCAGCTGGTTCTAGTGGCTAGGAAGCGCCTGGCCTCCCCACAGGCTTCAGGTGCTCTCACACACCTGGCTAAGGTTCTGATGCTGTTTTTGACAGTGGCCAGCAAGGCCCCGAGCCCCTTTCTGAAAAGCTGGATCTGGCCACGCAGGCAAGGGGCTGAGTGATGCGCTCTGTGGACCAACATCACACGCCCCGCCTGGGGGCGCCTCTGAATAGAGCTTGGGAAGCTCGGGTGGTTTGGAGTGCGGTGCCCGGGGTCCGGGACCCTCTGCCAAGGGAAGCCCTGTGAACTCATCTCCAACAAGCTTCAGCCGGCAGGGGGAAAAGGCTTTATTCAGCCTGGACCTTGTCCTCTGAGCCAGTCTCTAAGCAGGCTGCAATTGGTTTGAACTGTGTGTGTCTTAAACTGATCTTTCACCTGTCCTGCTTCTGTTCTGCTCTCATTCTATACTTTTTTATTATTATTATTATTATAACATTTCTATGCCGCCCCTTGCCGAAACCTCGGGGCGGCTTACAACACGATAAAATACAATGAAATACAATAGCACATAATAATTATCATATATTCTCCCTTCCATTACTGTGGTTTGCATTCTGTTTTATTGCAGAATCCTCGTTAGCAGACTTTTCTGGGCGGCTGAAATATGATTCTGGTGAACTGTAGAATTCAAAAGGCAACACACTGGAAAAGTGTAAGGAGCCACTGGGGTGCCTCAAGATTCAGCTGCTGGTTGCTTTTCAGAAGAGCATCCAAGCATCCTCTGTGTATTGTCTAGGTAAGCCCGAGCCTCTGAAGGAAAAAAGGACCACAAGGCAGCCAGCTCCTGAAGATGCTGGCACATCTTGGAAAAGGAAACGGGAATGCTCCACACATTCCAGGCCTGTGGCTTGGCACTCCATTCTGTGCAAAAGG